CTGCCCTTCCAGCCTCACAGCCTGGCTACAGGCCCCTCGCCCTGGCCTCTTGCTCCTGGGGCACTCTGTGGGGAGCTTCACAAGGTAAGGGGTGCAATCTCCCTGTATGAGGAAATGCTCACGCAGTCCTTGCCCTCCTCTCTTAGATGAGGAAACCGAGGTCCCGCCAGAGTCTGTCGCACAGTGAGTTGCTGACGCAGCTGGGAACAGTACCTGGTCTCGGGAAGGCACAGTCAGCTGACCTCTAAGGCCTGCAGACCAAGGCCCTCCTCCCGCCATTGCCCTCTGCTGAGCCTAGGACACGGTCTCTTTGCTTTTACACCCTCAAGACCAGATGGGGGTGAGCCCAGGTATGGGTCTCCAAATCCTTTCCTCCTTCCCTGTTGGGCACAATGCTGGCTGCAGCTGACCACACCTCCTTTGCTGATTTTATTTTGAAGTATAGTGGCTTAGCATAAGCTTTCTGGCGATTAAACATAATTTCAGTTGCTCTTACCCCCCCAAAACATCAGCCCCCTTTATCTGGAGGACACATTTCTCATCTCATTCTATGGGTGTGTGATGCCAGGGCTGTTATCTTGCCACATTCCTCTCACAGGTGAGGAAACAGGCTCAGGAAGGGTTAGAGAGGACAGTAAGTCAGGTCATGTGCTGACCGTAGACAGCCTAGCATATAAGAGGCTGTTAAATGCTTAAGTGAATTGTTAAATAAATGAATAATAAAGATGGCTTTTTATTTTCAAACAAAAAATAAAAATCACTTGCTATCGCATGTTCTGAGTGATTAGCACGATTAACTGTAATGACTCATTTCCTCCTCACAAACATCCTATTATTACCCTCATTTTAAAAATGAGAAATCTGAGGCACAGAGAGGTTATGCGACATCCCAAGGCCACACAGTTAGTAAGAGCTGGCATCTGAGTCTAGCAGTCTGGCCATGCACCTAGCCAAACCATCTGTGCAGGGCCAGGTCTACAAAAGCCCTGTCCACTAGAACCCTCTGGGCTGCTGGGAAAGTTCTATATCTGTGCTGTCCATGATGGCAGGCACTAGCCTAGCCACATGTGGTGACTGAGCACTTGAGGTGTGGCTGGTGTGGCTGAGAAGTTGCTCAGGGTGGGGAGGGAAGCAGCCCCGCAACACCCAATGTCTGTGCGATGGCCGAATGACTAGGCTAGACAGCTTACCTGCCCTAGACAGAAGGAAGCAGGGTGGACAGAGGTGAAGGAGTGGACCCTACAGTCAGCCTAGGGGACAAGCCTAGCAGGGTTCCAGCTGTGATGCCACCCACTCTCATGGCCACGCCTCCGTATCTCTGCTCTCTCCTTTCCCACTCTCTTGGCTTCCTTCATGTGAGCAGATAACTGGCTCAACACTTCACACATATAAGACAGATCCTGCCTGTGGCTCGGAACACTGAGCTGCAGATCCCACGCCCCCGTGGGCAAGGTTAGTCCTCAAATCCAGTCAACTCTTGATCCAGACTTACACTCTCCACTTTGGGGCTTATCGGTGGCAAGCCTTAATCCCTGCCAGGCACTTGGCGTGGAGGCTGCCTCCTGCTCTGCTATCAGCTGGTGTGTGCGCAGGGAGCGCAGACTCATTTTAATATTGGCTAGAGCTAAACCTCATTAGAAAAGTAAATTTGCTGTAGCTGCAAAAAAAAAAGCAACCCATATAACCCTTCCAGGGCTAAATAGAAAACACTAATTTGGTACTATTTAATGCTCTATGTTCCCAGCACCTGGTGTAGAACTTGGAACACAGTAGGCACGCAGTCAATGTTGGTGCAAGTGAACTGAATTTTGAGTGATCTCCGACCACCTTGTCACCGTGAGGCATGGAAAAAAATAGGTTGCAGATTTGAAGCTTTTATAAATTTCATTAAATTTTTTAGACAACCATTTGCTGATAGATTGGAATGATCATATTTAACAATAATTAGACAAGTAAAAATTGTTGTTGTTTGGCAAAAACAATCGTGGTGTCTCTCAGATGGTCCTTGCTAGTTGAGACATACTCTGTGCTCTTTGGGCCTGGATAAGGAAGGGCTGGTGCAGCCCTGATCCAGGAGGTGTGGTGATTCAAAGCGGTGAGGGCACAGGTGGGACAGACTAATCGATTCCAATGGGATTGGCACCAGGGCTGGCCTCACCAAAGCACAGCTCCTCCAAATTCTAGAGCCATCCAGTTACTGAGAGTAAGTGGGGGCGAGAGTGTATACAACAAATTAAATTAAAATTCATCTAGCCGCTCTTCTAAAAACAGTCTGGTAAGATGAGAGTTTCTCAATCTATAGACCTTCAGGAAACCAGGGCTTGGAGGATTCAGTTTTTCCCGAAGTCCAATCATCTGGTCATAGATGGAGATGAGACTGGACCTCTGACAGCCTGGCTGAGGGCTTGTCCTTGCTGCTCTACTTCCATGTCCCCTTGCTGACCTTCAGTAGTGTCCTCAAAGGTCTTCTTATCTGCAGGCCTGGGGAGGGGCTGCATGAAAGAGGCTTCTCTTCTTGTATCTCTCCAGGTGCCAGGTTTCCCCAGACCCCACTCCTACTGCACTGCATCCCAGGACCAGGAACAGCAGGGCCAAGGACAGAAGGTGGAGAAAAGCCCTTAGCGCTGGGAGATGGTCATGGGCAAGAGGGTGTCCCTGAAGGTCCCTGCATCCTCTCGATGCTCTTGGCCTCACAATTTGTCTCTGCTCTGCCTTTGGGCCTTTCCTTAAAAGACCCCTGCATTCATCAGAGCCACGGGAAAGAGCCTTCCTCAGTAGAATATCCAATTACTCCACTGTGGGGCCCCTGCAGGGGCAAAAGACAACTGCCAATGCAGATGGGGGGGCACTGGGAAGGCGGACCCCTGGCCTGCCCCAGTTCCCCACCCAGCATGCCCTGACTTCCGCCTGTGTGCCTCCCCCTGCCATCTGCAAGTGTGCTTCTATGCTCTTGTCTCTCATTTCACTCTGCCTTCCTTCACGCCTGTCTCAGGCTCTCAGATTCCTTTTCCTCCCGAGCCCCTGCCTCTCTTCCCTGCCAGTTTTCAGCAGAGAGAAGAGCTCAGGCATCCCTCTCTTCCAGCCACAATGGACCACCGTGCTCATATCCCCAGAGCCTGGCTCTCAGTCAGTGCATCCTCCTGCACACCGCACATCTGCAAAGCTCCCTGCCTGCCTGCACTCCACAGCCAGGAACAATACGGCTGCCTTGGTCCCCTCACTCTCAATAAACTCCTTTGGGAAAATCCAGGCCTCTTCAGAAGACTGAGCAGGGGAACCGGGTTAGCCCGTGGCATCTTCCTCTGGAGCCCTTGGTCTCTGCCACAGGCTCCAATCCTGCTGCTGGAGCTGTCCCCCTCTCTGATTTACCTGACCCATGTTTCAGGTGGGACAGTTAGTACCTGCTCCCCAGAAACGTATATGATGTGCTCAGCCCAATCTCTATGCATGTGCCTGAACCTGGGTAATTCCTGAGCGTCTAAGGAGCAGGTACAGAAATGGGACCAGCAGACTTCTGGTTCCAGAGCTGAAGGGGCATGGGGCATAAACCACCAACTTTCCAGGTCCCATTACCCTTGGCAAGCATTTCTGTTTTTATCAAGGCGGGGGGAGGGAAAATGGGATGTAGCTCCAGAACCGTGGGGTATTGGTCATGGACTGGACATAACGGGAAAGTCTCTTTGAGGGTCTCCTGAGAAAGGGTCTTCCCTCCATGAAAAGGAAGGAAAGACTTGATGTTGGGTCCAATGAGGCTACTGATGGTCACCAACAAAGCAGTCTCTGGGAAGAAACAGAAATGTCTCAGTCTCTGTGGTGGGCACTGGCATAGGTAGGGAGATACAAGCACAGAAGACAAGACTTGAAACACCCTAGAACAGCCTAGTGCAGCCACATGCCCACAACCCTAGTGCCTCTCATTTCCACACAGACACATGCAGCAATTTCACAGTGCTACGCACTAGGACATCCACATCCCATGATCCTAAACCTGCTTGCCACACAGCTCAAGCTCAGAGTTCCCTAGGTATCCCACCCAGACCGTACGCATGCAGACAGAGGACCCCACCAGCAAGGGCTGGCCACTGTCAGCAAAGGCCCCTTCAGAGTCCCGTGCACTAGAAATCTTAGAGTCGTTCAGCTTCCGCCTCCACGCGAAGCCATCAGCTTGTGCACAGCTGGGACTAGGCCTGGCTGGTGGGGAGGAAGGGGCCAGGAGGCTAGTCGAGTCTCCGTGAGTGTGCATGGGGGTTGGACGTCTTGACCTGTTACTTGGTGAGAGGCTGCCACCCCCTTCCCTGGCACTGTTGGATCCGGTGGCTTCCATCTCTCTTCTTTCCTGCCGCACTCTCAGCTTCCTTTTTTGAAGTTGTATGCTCTGACTTTGGAGAGATCAGGACCTCAGATCCGAGCCCAGGTGCAGAGGGGAGGGGGGCGAACGGGTCGTGCCTCCTTCCTCCTTGTACACCGAGGGTCCCAAGGACCCTTTACCACCCCTGGGCCCGTCAGCACCCCCCGCAGAACTGCAGAGCCTGGGTCCCCTGAAGAGAGTTAACTTGGCAGTGCTTGGGAGCCGCAGAGCGTATGGGGATAGTGTCGGGGGGCAGGGGTGCAGCGGGGGGGATTCGGCGTGGGGGCCTGACCCCTGACTCCTCATCCGGGCCACCAGAAACCACCTGCTGAGGTGGCAAGAGACTGCCAGGCTAAGAACCGGGGTGGATTGTGGCAGGATGCCTAGACCCGGCTTTTCCCCAAGCACGGTCCAAGGAGAGCAGGCGGTGCCCGGGTTTTGTTCTGCAGACCCTCAGCGGCAGCGTCTCCAGCCCGGCTCGGTTCTCGGCCCCCTTTCAGCTGCCCCACTGCGCGCACCACACACAAACACACACACACACACACACACCACGCGCGCGCACCCGGGAGGACATGGCGTGGGTACTGATGGGGACGCATAAAGGGGCTCTGTGCGCCGCGGCGGTGCGGCGGGGGGCGCGGAGAGCACTGACCTGCGGCGGCGAGTCCAGATCGGCCCCGGCGCGGTCCATCGCGGGCGGCGGCCCTACGCCCCGGCCCCGGCGCCCCCAGGCTGCTGCCCC